ACGTCTCCCGCCAAAAGCTCCCTGGACGTCAGAGCGCTTGCCACAGAGGATGTGTCACCAATAAACCACACTGTGCCTCTCTGAGAATGTGTGCATGAGTACCCACATACATACTCATAGGCCCCATGGGCTAACCGTCAAATACAGCCCTCCACTCCCTCCCCAACCCTAACTGAGATGCTCAACTCATTTTTCAACAGATCAGCGCTTACATTTATGCATTTGATGGTCAACTCATGCCAAGAATGTGAAGTGATATACAGCAAAATCAACAAACTGGGACTTGTTTAAATGTATTTATTTTCTAACTCTGATAGGGCCTTGAGTACCGTAGGCTTCAGCCGAGGAAACCCCATTGGTAAAGGCAGCCTTGCCCACCGAAGACCCCCTCTGATATATTATAACATTGCTATAGCATTCACAGTGAACATCGATGTAGAATTGGTATGCTGGGTTTTCTGAAACCAAATGGGCACTGGGCCTTCAACTAACGATAATTTGAGGAATTGGTTCATTTGTCGATTATTTCGTCGATGACTCAATTAATCAGATTTTTTAAAAACTTGTTGTAGTTTCCCTCTCGTTGTTTAAAAAACAAAAAACAGCCTTTATTCATGTTGATAGTGCAGATTTTATTTATTTATTTATTTTTATGATTTGATTACTGGTTTGGTCTGTAACGTCTCATAGAATAGGCCAAGTTGGAGACCACGCAGAAGTTTGTAAATGTAAAACTACACTATCATTTTTGTTTTTGTTTGTTTGTTTGTTTGGTTGTTCTTTTCCGTGGAAGATCAATGTCACCAGAAAGAGCTGGAATAAAAAGAACGATATGTTAAAAATGTATGAAACGATAACATTTTAAAGCTTCCAAAAAATGTTTGTCTTGTTTCTAATTCAAATCCTTGAATGGCCTGTGATCAGTTTTTCAGATAGAGAATGAAGCTGAGGTCTTGAGGCCTCACAGATTCCTTCAGTGTGGATCACCACAGGAAAATGTTTAATTTCAGAAGCTGAATAATCATAATTCATTCATGATATTAAATAATTAATTTGATGCATTTAAGTTGATAAACATGCCATCGCTTTATTTGTGATAGCTTGATATTAATATGCCAGCTAGCTTCCGACACATGATATTTGTTGATTGCAATGCGGATCCGTGTGAGGGAAGGCGGTATAGAAAATGGATAGCTGGATGTTTCCATACGAAATGCAGGAGAATGTATTCTACGTTGAAAGTGCATGGTGGCTTTTCCTTTGTATGATATTCCATGACGTACAGACTTTCCTAAATACTTAGAATTAAATGAATCGCTTTCGTGTCGCTAAAATGAATTCCATTTTATAGAACTACAGGCCTATTACTGTAAAATTGTAATGTCATCTTCACTCATAGACTTGGACGGCGTGACTACAAAAGTCTGACTTTGGGGAATGTGATGTCTGTTGAAAAAAAAACCCTCGATACGTGTCTCATTGCTCGCTCACTGCACACTTGTCAAAACACAGTTCACAAAACCCCATCAGAAACAGTTCCAACAAACTAAATGCATATTGGTTTTGATAAACACTCGACTAATCACCTCAACCCGGCATGGATTAAGTTTCTCCTCTGGCTCCACAAAAACATGGGGTCTACAGTATGACTAATCCACCCTACTTGTTGTAAATAGTTATGGTGTCAGGAGAGGAAAAACAATGCGAGCGAAGGGGACTTCCTGTGTTTATAGAGGGCCGGGGGCAGACCCTGAATGAGTCAGTGCACCGATTACACTGCTTCCATCCGTCCATCGAGTCATCCATCCAAGCCGTCATGTAGCTTCTTTTACTCAGATCTCAATACAGTCGAATAGAATACTTACTGTAATTATTACTATTTACCACTATTCACATCATGTAGATGTACAGTGCCACCCATATAAGATTTGTGCACGTACGCTAGCAGGCGTTCGGTAAACTTGCACAATATGTTTAACACCGATACAAGAGCTCAATAAAAACACTGTTCTGGTACACAGATATTGCAACATCACACCCAAACATGTTTGTTATCATAGTTTAAGACACACACACACACACCACCACCACTCATCACGATTACGGTCGCCGTCGAGTATTCTCGGGCCAAATTTTGGTCCCAGCACACACACACACACACACACACACACACACACACACACACACACACACACACACACACACACACACACACACACACACACACACACACACACACACAAACACAAACACATTGACTGACCAATATGTATGTTTGTGAAAAAATATGAAATTAAATTGTGACATGGGAGGTTTCGGTTCAACGCCAGCTATTTGAAACACTGTTCAGTATGAATCATTTAGCACTGCACTAGTTCTGCACGACTGAAAATCACAACCACATTCATAAACAGAATAGGAAATTATAAGAGAATTGTTTTCTTCCTAAAGGCTAACCTTTTGAATACAGCTCATGGGCATGTACTTAATAGCAGCCTTTTTATTACATGATGGTGTGAGCAGGTTGGTCATGTTGCAAAAGCTTAGTGTGAGCATGTGATGGGCCTTAAAAGGAGGGTCAAGAATGAGCCATTCGTGGTCCAGCAAGAAGACAGCTCTGATTAATGAGCAGGCAAAAAAGAAGGGGCTGTGCAAAGAGGGGGGGGGGCAAACACAACAGAGAGCAGGGAGACAGAGAGAAATCTCATTCTCTCTTTCCCTTTATCTCTTTCTCCCTCTCCCCTGTGTCTGTCTCTACTGCAGACTTCAGCAGTTTCACAATCCCCCAAAGCGGCCAGACAAGCGGCCCAACAGGCAGTACTGCTCAGTTCCACTCACACATGAACGGCAGCAGCACAACAACAGGAAAAGGGCCTCTGCATTTGCTCGCAGGTCCCGTCTCCAAGCTCCCTGAGACTGGATCTTGTTATTATCATTATTACTGTATACTGTAGCTCAAGCTTGAGATAAACTTTCAGCATACCAACACTCTTCGTTTTGTTTATGAAATGTTGCAAGAGCAGATACGGAGAGGGGTTTATTTAAAGGCTTTCTATTTTGGACAATGGCCTGCTCATCACTGCAGTGAGGGTAGGAACAGCTGATGTGGTTGGCAATTGAATTGCTGTTAAAGACTGACCCCTACTGGTCGTTAGTGACAATGACTTTAAATGATTTTGTTTGGTGCTTGTATACTCACCATTCACACAACACTGCGTGCACCTGCGCATTGCACGATACAATAAAATTGACAACATAAAGTTTGAATTTTGAAATCTAGTATGTGTCGGTATGTGGTTGAGATGGTAACCAAAACCAAATGTTTTGAATGCTCTTTCCGAGGTAATGGACACAATTAAAATACAGAGTAAGACTTCTGAGACTGTGATACTCATTATTGAGCATTACTGTCTGTACTGTCAATAATAAATATTGCACAGCTTTTACAGTGGAACTCATCGGGGTTGTGCAGGTGTACCTAACATGGTGGATAGGGAGTCGGTGTTAGCTGAAGGTGAGCCCTGGGAATCCAGACCAGGCAAGAGTTAAACAAGGTGATAACATTTGTATTGCTCTTAGTTCCAGTGAAAGCAAAGAACATTGTAGTACAGTCAATAGACTTCACTTACTGTAACGGAACTGATGGCCCTTTAGTGTCAACTAGTGTTCCAATAATAATAATAATAATAATAATAATAATAATAATAATAATGATAACATAGATGGCAATGGCGAGTGATGAAAAAAGCGGAAGGGGCGTGGCCTGGCCGGGGGCGTGGTTACTTATAAAAGTGGCACTAAACATGCTGAAGATAAAGTGTATTGAATTTACACACTATTTGAAAATTGAACAGAAAAAAATCCCAAGATCGCCACTATTCTTTCAAGTGAAAAGTTGTGCAATTTTGCTTATGCATTCCTGGTGAGCATATGTAACTCCAGATTTGCTGCTCAAAATCAAAACTAAAAAAAGTAAACACATTCCCTGCCATATTTAAGATTTGTTCATGACTTGTATTCACAAAGTATTGTGTAAATGTGATAAAAAGCTGTTGATTCTTACCTCATACAGTAACGTCTTTAGTTGTATCCGCTGACTAAGTTTGTTTGAAAAATGCCGATCCCAAAGAATAATTGCTCGGTCGAATGGCGATTTTGTCGGCATGTTTTTTTCACTTTTGTTGCATGATCTGTCAGTGCGACGCATCCACGGGAGCCAAAGTTAATTAAGTCACTCCAATACACACAATAATCTTTGCCTCCAACGTCTGGTTTCTTCAAAAATTGTCAGAGAGCTTCTGTAACTCCGTCGAATTTGGAACCATTTTTTAACCTTTACAGTGACTTTTCTGTCAAGCCAGTCCCATCGGAATTTATTCTTGACATTTGAGTCAATTTCTAGGATTGAAGACTCCTGATCTTTCGTCAAAAATTTCATAAT